GATTGTGCTGGAGTACAATTCAGCTGTTGCTGATGGCCCACAGTGCCTCATAGATGCCCAGTCTTGAGTTGCTAGATCTGTTTGAATTCTGTGCCATTTAGCACAATGATAGAGCCACACAACACGATGGAGGGTGTTTTCAATACGAGGATGAGATTTCATCTCCATGAGGACTATGGGATGGTCACTCTTACCAACACTGTCATGGACAGATGCATCTGCAGCAGATTGGTGAGGGTGAGAGTGAGGTCAAGTATTATTTTTCCTCTTGTTGGTTCCCCCACTACATATCACAGACCCAGTCTAGCAGCTATGTCTTTTAGGATGTGACCAGTTTAATCAGTGGTGCTGCTGCCGAACATTGGACATTGAAATTGCCAACCTGAGTACATTCTGTGCCCTTGTCACCTTCAGAGCTTCCTCCAGGTATTGAGGAGCACTGATTCATCAGCCGCAGGAAGACAGTGAGGTTAGTGTATAAGGATGAGTGAGGGTTAGGATGCTAAGTGTATGAAGAGGTCGGAGTTGCAGGTGGTTAGGGATTGGGTGCTCGTTGAGTGAAGAGGTAAGATGACAAGTGAGAAAGGAGGTCGTATGTGAAGTGAGTCAGGGAAATAGTGGCAGGCAGTTGAAAAGTAGGTTAACAGTTGGGTAAGGGCTAAAATGGGAGGTGGATAATAGATTGGGATACAACTGGGTGAGGAGATAGGGTGGTAAGTGCAAGAGAGGATAGGGTGCCAGCTGTGTAAAGAGGTAGATTGGCAGTCAAGGTGGCAAGTGGGTTAGGGTAGAGTTGCAAATAGATGAGGGGATTAGGGTTGCAGGTGGCTATAAGAGGATAGGGTGCTAGGTGAGTGAACGGAATCAGGTGCAAGCGGGTGAAAGTAGGGTGGCAATCCTTTGGGTAGGGCCAGGGAAGAGAGGTGTTGGGTAACCATCAGGAGTGGAAATTGGGGCTCAAAGACGAATTAGGTAGAGGGATGAGTTTAATAGCTACCCAGGAACTACAGCAGGTTATAATTCTCCCATCTTTTTATGGATGACCAGTAAGCTAAGTCAGTCAAAACCCTGTAGATGCTGTGAGCCTAACTCATAGTTAATGACTATTTTGAGGTGTTGCAGATGCCAGGTAATAACCTATTAGAAGTTTTCAATGTTCAGTCAATTTCGAGGGAGTCAGCAGTATCTGGACTTCAGCATCACCCTGATGGGTAATTCCTGTCTATGCTGCTCCAATGACTGTCTTCCTTTTGAAATATCTGGGCCAGTGTCTGTGATTAATGATTGGTGAGACAGACTAAAGTGTTTCTCATTTACTGTCTTTTGCAGAACAACAGTAAATTAGCTCTATCTCATTAACTATCAATGTTTAGATTTTTTTTAACGTCTCTCAAACTTCTTTGAATGCATCTTCTTAAAATCCCCAATATTTAAAAGCAACTGTGGCTCGAAATAATTGCTGTGGCACAATAGTCAACAAATCCCAAACATGGAAACCCCAGGGGCCCTCCATTAACTTCTAAAAGGAAATGTCAAATGTTGTGTGGAAGACAAAGAAGAAAACCAATCTTGTATTGATAACATCATGTTATCATTTCCATAATACTTTACAATCAATTTATTTCACTTGAGGTGCAGTTACCTGTGTTGCATAGACAATTTGCATGCACCCAAGGTATTCAGATAGCAAAGGAATGAAAGACCAAATAAGCTGCTTTTCCTGATGTGTTTGAGAGACAAATATTAATGAGGACATTTCAATGCCAGATGACTGGCTCATGTATCTATGACAAATTATATAGGATGCAGCCTTATCTGAACCAGGTGTTATATTGAACCAGGCAGATAACTAATTGCCTGCTCTCACAGCATGCTGCACTTTCGTGATACATACTGTTGATGCTAATGTTCCTAGGTATCTTATACACTTTGGGAATTCGTTGTAGAGATATTCTATTCAGACCTGCCTTCAGGAAGAAAGTTCAGCATAAATGGTAACTGCCATTCTTTGCTCAGTGATATTATGGAAAGTGAAAATCTTGTCAATACAAAAGCTTTTTCTAATGAAAACCACATGCATCCTCTTGGATTCTGTCAACAATGTTCCTGTCCCTCATTCAAAGTAATGGTACAGGAAGGTATGCGAGAGTCTGGGTAGCAACATTGTAATCAATTGTTTCCATCGCTTTTGTCCTTGACAGTGACATCCTTTCTCTAGATTTTGATTCTAATTCTTTGCTGTTCAAGGTAAACAAATAAGTGTCAGATGTTAGCTAAGATCTCAAATTCACTTCTTCGAATAATTCAACACAGACGTGATTCTCTCCACGTGACGTGTTCTTTATATCAATGACCTATCTCATGTTTACAGTGACTGCCAGTTAAATCACATTCTCAATTGAGTAATACTGCATGTACTGTCTAGAGGGGGAGTTTTGAGGATTTTATGGAAAATCTTACTACTTCTTTGCATCTTCTAGTTTGCTCATAAGCAAACTTTGTTTGAGAAACAAATTTTGTTTTTGCTTAGACCATCAATTGGTTGGTTACAGTTTGTTTGTTATCAAATAGAATGCCCTCATATCAGCCTTTATTGCTACCTTTTTTTGGAGTTGAGCATATTTGTCAGTGTAATTTGTTTTGCTTTTACATGCTAATATTTAATTGGCTTATTTTTTTTTCTTTGACTTCTGCATTTACATCTGGACCAACTGCTTTGAGTAGATGGAGCTTGGCTTTTCCACATTCAACAACTGAATGACAAAAGTGTTAGCATTGCAGCATTATTTGTTTTCATATTTCATATGGCCCAGTACCTATATGTAAAACACAGGGATCATTATCCTGAAAAATATATATCAAATCTGAATTAGGGTGCCCACAAATTACTGGGTTGAATGAATTAATCTTTTTCCTGCTAAATTATCAAAAAATGAAATAAGACGTTAAGTCGTGCATAAATATTTGTTTGTCTGTTGCAAAGCGCAGATTATCACAGCTTTATTTCAAACATTCAGCATACAATAATTTATATATAGTATATAATATTTAGGCAGATATACTGGACCATTTGTAAATCACAAAATTAACCAGTAAGAGGTTGCAAAGGCAGTTTGGTGTATTATTATTAAATGACAGTTGAGACTACTATCTAGGAATACTGCACATTGGTGACATTACGCTAGGAATAAACTTTTTTGAAAACTATCAAGTTAAAGACATTGGATCATCAGTCTATTGAACAGATGATTTTTGTGTATTAGCTAATAATGTTTCCAGAGTGTGTACAACCTTGTCTTTGAGTGACATGGTTGAGTTAATCCTTTTTACTCTCCTAGGATGACAATGTCAATTCCTAGAACACCAATTCTTTGATGTTGGATTATCTCTTCTACTTAGATCCTCCAAATCCACCTTCCACATGAGTGATTGTATCTAAGCTAGGAGGCTCAACTCTCAATCCTTGATCTCACACAACTTGTACAATTAAGTGATACATACATCGCTGCCTATAAATTGCTCATATAGCTGTACAGTTTGCCTTGCATAACCTCTTACTGTGTGTTCAAAATACTTTGCACTTGTAAAGGTATGCTTCTACATCTGCTAAGTAGAGATTACTACAGAGGATAACAGCAGAATATATGAACGAGAATCAACATCTAACAAAATAAGACCCGCTAAAAGATATGCCTTAAGTTCAGAGAAAAAAATTTCCAATCAGTTGACCAACCTGACTAACATATAGTACCAACCATTATAATTCATTTGCTGATGATAATTTCTAATAGTCAATTAAGTGTCTTGGAAGTTGTCATAATATAAGGTTCTCGTGTGGATTTGTAGCTCGAGTTGTGGATGTTGTGGTTGGTTGGCTCGCCGAGCTGGTTTCATTACCCTGCTGGGTAACATCATCAGTGCAGCCTCTGATGAAGCACTGTTGTGTTTTCCTGCCTGGTAGTTAAATTCTGGGGTCCATTGGAATTGGTTACCTCATTTCTGGTTTTCCTTCGCAGTGGTGTATATATAGAGTCTAATTCTATGTATTTATTGATGGCCTTCTTGGTGGAGAACGAGGCCTCTAGAAATTCCTGTGCTTGTCTCTGTTTGTCCTGCCCTAGGATCTTACAACAATTTATATCTATATAGCACACAGGTCATGTGACATCCCAATGCAGGATTATTATACAATAAAATATGACAACAAGCCACATAAGATATCAGGACAAATGATCAATGGTATGAGCAAAGAGTTAACACAGAAAATAAGAGCAAGAGTAGGTTTTTCGATGTATCTTAAAAGGGAAATACCAGATAGAGAGATGGCTACAAAAACACTGTGCTGGAGAAACAACAGGTCTGCAGTATCTGTTGAGAGAAAAACACAGTTAATGTTTTGAGTCCAGTGACCACTTGTCACAGTAGAGAAGTGGCTCAGTTTGATAAAAAGCTCCAAACTCCAGGGCTTAAGTAACAAAAGTTGTTTGCATGAATGGGGGAGTAATTAAAATCAAGGATGTTTAAGAGGCCAGACTAGATGGGTGAAGATAGCCTAGAGGGTTATGATGTTGGAAAAGGTTGCAGAGAGGGTGAGGCCACAGATGGATTTGGAAACAAAGATGCAAATTTGAAATCAAGGCAATGTTTGACCAAGAGCCACTGTGCACAGCGGTGATGCGTGAATGGGACCTGGAGTTAAGACACAGTCAACAGTACTTTCGGCGAGTTTAAGTTGTGGAGGGTAAAATGTGGAAACCAGCAAAGACTGGGTATGAATAGTCAAGTCAAGAAAAGAAGAAAGGAAGAAAATGAAGAAAAGAATGATTGTTACAATAGCAGATGAATGGTGAAAGGGGTGAAGTCAGCTTACAGGGGTAGAAATGGGCAGTCTTAGTGACGCTGTGAAGGTAAGTGTCAGCAATGATACCAAAAACCTGAAGCTTTTTAAGAATCAAAACTTTATGTGCTTGTCTTTTTATTGAATGATTTTCCTTCCTCAGATTAATCTGCAACGGACCATGAGAATCACAGGATTGATTAGCCAAGGTGCTAAAAGATTTGGCAGCCCAGAGTATGTGAAATCATACAAGATTGCTTATAGTGGTGATGGCAAAACCTGGACTACTTACAAAGTAAAAGGCACCTATGAGGACAAGGTAAGATGAAAAAAAATGAAATGTATTTCAGCCACATGATTTTATTTAACTTGTGTATGGCTAGTAAGCTTGTGGATAACATCAAAATTAGTGGTATAGTGTACAGTGAAGAAGGTTATCTAAGATTACAAAGGGATCTTGATTAATTGGGCCAATGGGCTGAGGAGTGGCAGATGGAGTTTAATTTGGATAAATGTGAGGTATAGCATTTTGGTAAAACAAACAAGGGCAGCTCTTATACAGTTAATGGTAGGGCCCTGGCTAGTGTTGTCGAACAGAGAGACCCAGAGGTTCAGATACATAGTTCTTTGAAAGTTGTGTCACAGGTAGACAGGATGGTAAAGGAGGTGTTTAGCACTCTTGACTTCATTGCTCAGACCATTGAGTAAAGGAGTTGTACAGGACGTTGGTGAGGCCACTTTTGGAGTGCTGTGTACAATTATGGTTGTCCTGCTACAGGAGGGATAGTATTAAATTGAAGAGGGGTTCAGAAAAGATTTACAAGGATATTACTGGGACTGAAGGGTTTGAATTATAAGGAGAGGCTGGATAGGTTGGGACTTATTTCACCAGTGCATAGGAAGTTGAAGGATGACCTTATCGAGGTTTATAAGATCAGGAGGGGCATAGATAAGGTGAAGAGCAAAGGTCTTTTCCCTAGGGTGGGGGAGTTCAAAACCAGAGGGCATATTTTTAGGGTGAGAGGAGAAAGATTCCAAAGGACCTGAGGAGCAGCTTTCTCATATGTGGAATGAACTGCCTGAGGAAGGGGTGGGTGCAAGTACAGTTACAACATGTAGAAGATAGGTACATGAAAAGGAAAGGTTTAGAAGGATATGGATCAAATGCAGGCAAGTGGGATTGGATTGGTTGACATGGACTAGTTAGACCGAAGGATCTGTTTCTGTGCTCTACCTGTCCACAACACCAACCACCATACTGTAAAAAATACATAGAAACTTTGAAGAAAGTGCAGAAAAAGTAGATTTAAAAGGATGAGACTAGATCTGAGGGATTAAATCTCTTGTTAAAAAAATGTTGAACAACTTTTATCTTTAGAAAGAGAATATTGAAGGTAACCTGATAAAGTCTTTTAAAAATGAGACTAGTACTGGATGAATCAAAATGTTTTTATATGTGTGAAAAATCCAAAATTGAGCCCTGTCAAATGCAAGGTGGCTGTTATCAAATGCAGTAAGGAGAAACAGCTTCATTTGCAAAATTGAGAGAATGTGGAACTCTGTACCACAGAACCGTTTGAGGCAAATAGTAAAGTCACTTTCTATTGAAGGTGGTGCCAGAGAACAGAAGAATTGCAAACATTGTGCTGTTCAAATAAAATTATAAAACTTTGGTGGTGGGGAGCAATTCGAGAAACAGTTATTTGGGATATGATGAATAGTCACATGGACAACTGTGGGTTAATTTGGAACAGCCAGCATGGATTTGTTACAGGAAAATGATATCTCACAAACTTGCTGGAGTTGTTTGAGAGGTAACGGAGGGGATTGATGAGAGCATGTTGTTGAAGTTGTGTGCATGGACTTCTAAAAGGTGTTTGGTACAGTGCCACACATTTGACTTTTGTGAAAGGTGTGTCGCGTCTGGAATAAAAGATGGGAACAACATGCTGACCAGGCTGGTTGGGAGGTAGGAAACAGAGTGAACATGTTTATGGATTTTTTTGGGATGGAGAAATGTCTGAGATGGAATTTCCCATGGATCATTATTGGGACCTTGATTTTCTGCTGTGTTCTGGGTACGTTTTCAAAGTTTCTAATATAAAACTTGGAAGCATTATAAACTGTGAGGAGGACAGTGTATAAGTTAAAAAGGACACTGATAAGTTGATGGAGTGATTGAATAGTTTCCAGACTAATTTCAATGCAGACCAGTGTGAGGAGATACATTTTGGTACAAAGAGCAGAGTATGAAACAAGGGTTACTATTCTAAAGGGTGTGCAGGAACACGGACACCTGAGTGTATATTGCATACATCATTATAGGTGACAGGACAGATAGAGAGAGCAATTAATAAAGTATTCAGTATTCTCAGCTTCGTTAACAGAGGTATAGAGTACAAGAGTAGGGAAGTTATACTGAATGTGTGTAGGGCACTATTTAGACCTCAACTTGAGTATTCTGTACAGTTCATTTATGCGAAGGATGTGAATGCATTGGGCAGAGTGCAGAAGAAGTTTACGAAAATGGTTCTAGGGATGAAAAAATGTTTTTCTTGGACAGGAGAAGGCTGAGGGGATTTGTAAAGATCTATGACACAGACAAAGGCTTTTCAGCCCATTCAATTCTGGTGTCCATGCTATAGGAAGGATGTGTGAAACTTGAAAGGGTTCAGAAAAGATTCATAAGGATGTTGCTGGGGTTGGAGGGTTTGAGCTATAAGGAAGAGGCTGAAAAGGCTGTGTCTGTTTTCCCTGGAGTATCAAAGGCTGAGGGATGATCTCATAGAAGTTCATAAAATCATGAGGGGCATGGATAGGGTGAATAGCCAAGGTCTTTTCCCTGGGGTGGGCAAGTCCAAAACTAGAGGGCATAAGTTTAAGATGAGAGGGGAAAGATTTAAAAAGGGACCTAACGGGTCCTTTTTACACAAAGGGTGGTGCATGTATGGAATGAGCTGCCAGATGAAGTGGTGGAGGCTGGTACAATTACAACATTTAAAAGGCTTCTGGATGGGCATGTGAATAGGAAGGGTTTAGAGGGATATGGGCCAAATTCTGGCAAATGGGACTAGATTAATTTGAGATATCTGGTCAGCATGGACAAGTTGGATTGAAGGGTCTGTTTCCGTGCTGTATATCTCTATGACTCTATGAATCTGCTACAGTGAAAAACAACCACCTAACTATTCCAATCCCTTTTTATATCATTTCGCCCATAGCCCTGTAAACCTTGGCATTACAAGTGGAAATCTAATTACTTCGTAAATGATGAAGATTTCTGCCTCAGCCACCCATGCAGGCAGTGAATTTAATCTGGGTGAAAAATGTTTTGCTCACTTCTCCTGTAAACATCCTACACCTTACCTTAAATCTGCTGTCCTTCGTCATCGATCGCTCCACCAAGAGGAAAAGATTTTCTCGTCTGCCCTATCTCTTTTAACTTTGGACATCTTAATCATGCCCTCACCCCCAGTCTCATATGCTACAAGGAAAACAGTCCCAGTCTATCCAATCTCTCTTCATAACTGAAACTATGGTGGGGTGGGGGTGGAAGTGATGACCCAGTGCTATTAAAGCTGGTTAAAGCAGAAACCCAGGTAATGTTCCAGGCACCTGGGTTCAAATCCTGCCATGGCAGATGACAGAATTTGAATTCAATTAAAATCTGGAATTAAGAATCTAATGATTATTGGAAAAAAAATCTGGTTTTTAAAGTCCTTTAGGAAAGGAAACTGCCATTCTTATCTGCTCTGGCCTACATGTGACTACAGATGCATAGCCAATGTGGTTGACTCTTAACTGCCCTCTGGGCAATTAGGGATTCGCAGTAAATGCTGGCCTAACCAGTGACGCTCTCACCTCATGGATGAAGCAATAAACACTGAAACATCCATCGGTTAAATTGTCCTTTTGTTCTTTTCGTGTTTCTCTATTTCCTGTCTTTACTGTTCTTGTCTGTGGTAATTTATACTGTGATGCAATTTGCCAGATGGCAGCTTCCATCTAGCACTTAGACCAGGTAGTCATTTGCTGTGTCTAAGGAAGTACTGGCAGTGTATTTTGGGTCATCACTGTGTTCAACCCTGTCCCAATAAATTCCAACATGCCGGGAAGGAGCTCTGGATGTTTCAGTTTTACTCCAACATGGAGTACAAAAAACCAATTACATGGGAATTATATTACATTGAAATTCCAACATGGAAATCATCAATTAAGCCCAACAAGTCCGTGATGGTGTTTACTCTGTATTTACCCTTACACTAATTTGCAATAGCTTTAATTGCACATGCTCACTCTATTCCTCTATCCTTTGATTCATAGCTCACATGATCTTTGCTTCAATATTTGATGCTATGCTGCTGCTACATTCTCAGAACAAATCGGCTAATTGATCCTGTTTGCTATGATTCATAACACCCTGCAAAGTGCACTTACCCCGTGAGTCAAGGGGAGCTCAAGTGGGTTCTTCATCAGTGTTAAAACTGAAAATGTTCAGCTTTTGGTAGTTAATCTATTTTCTTTAGTCAAACTTGTTTTTTTGGAATAATGCCTTCTCTCATTTAATTTACCTCATTAAGGTAAATAGATGGGCTAAGTGCCATACATATATTTAGAACTCCAATGTTTTTTTTTTCTGTACTGGTGAGGTGATTACATTTCAAAAGTTTGAATAGCTGGCATTAATTCATGTTGCTGAATCTTAGATGATAGCATTAAATTAACCTCAACGATTGAAAACGCCTAACTGAGAATAATGTATGTGTTTTCTGCTAAATGCAAATTATGTATAACTGAATGGAATAGTTTATCCTAACAGCCTTGAAGTTCTTAATAAAATGAAGGATCAGAGTTTTGGAATGAAAGAGATGTCCACTTTGTTTGAACAACCTAATATAGATTATTCCCATTTGTAATGTTCTTCCAAACTCAAATATTAAAAGAGACTTGTGGTTATTTGCTTCTTTCTTCTGTTCCAAACAACCTTTCACAACCCTTTATGAAAATTTATCCTCCTAAGGGATTTTGAAGTTATATCCACACTCCAGTTGTTTCTTCTATGTGCCACAATGTTGATGGAGTGTACAAATTGTTAAGTGCATCAGTGCGTACATCCAGTTTGTGATCTGGGACAATTGTTTCACATTCCTTCTGCGTACCTCATATGGTGAAGAAAGTAATGTTTTTTGAAAGCTATTTTAGCTTGATCTGAAAAGGTACTAAATTATTTGCTTTATGTTTCTGATGTTTAGTAAATGTACTTTTTCTCTTTACTGATGGCCTCAGAAAAAATAGTGAGACATTTGGTGATCGCGGTCC